CTGTAGGTACTGCAAGCGCTGCGGATCACTGAGTATTTGCTGGTTTACAACAATCTGCTGCGGCTGCTGCTGCATTTGCATCCTCTGCTGTTGCTGCTGCTGTGGTATAATCTGCTGCTGCTGCAACATTTGTTGTTGCTGCACAAGTTGCTGTTGCGTCTGGTTGACCACGTAAACGTTTTGGCTTTGCGGATTTTGCGCCAGAATTTGCTGTTGCTGTTGCACGCTAAGCTGATTAAAATGCTGCTGACTAATTATGAAGGTCTTTTGTTGCTGCTGCTGTTGTGGCTGCTGAACTCCAGAAATTTGCTGCTGAGAATCACACGAAAATGCATTGCGATAAATATTTAAAATTACAAATTCAAATGTAAGAGGAGGCCTACCTGCTGCGGTTGTTGTTGCAGCTGCTGTTGCTGAGGAAATTGACCAATAATCTGCTGCTGCTGTTGTTGTGGAACCTGCTGCTGTTGCTGAACATTGGTTGGTGGACGTTGTATGGTTTGTTGAATGATTCGCACTTGGCCACCAGCTCCAAGCGCAATTTGCTGCTGTTGTGTAAACTGAACATGCTGCGTTTGCTGTTGTTGAACTTGGTGCTGCTGTGGAAGTTGTTGCTGTTGTTGCTGCTGTGCCGGGGGAATTTGCTGCACTTGAGAAATCTGTTGCTGCTGCTGCGGCTGCTGTTGTGTTTGTTGTTGAACGTGCAACATTTGCTGCTGCTTCTGCAAGGCCAAAGACATATGGCTTTGAATGATTTGTTGTCCTTGAGCAGTAGATGTGTTTATAACATGGCGCTGAGTGATGACTTGTTGCTGTTGTCCAGGCTGTGGTTGTTGCTGTGTCAGGACCTGCTGTTGTTGTTGCTGCTGCTGTTGTTGTTGCTGCTGTTGTTGTTGTTGTTGTTGTTGTTGTTGTTGTTGCTGTATTTGCTAAAAAGAAAAGAGCATTAATCTCCGGTAAAACAGAATGTGTGTTCCCCATATTACTTGAGAATTTTGTTGCGGTGCCTGCTGTTGTAACGTAGGGGTAGTAGGTTGCTGTTGCAGTGGAGATTGTCGCGGAGACGGGGTGTGCTGCTGTTGTGGTTGCTGCGGCTGCTGCTGTTGCTGCGGTTGCTGTGCCATTTGCTGCTGCTGGGGCTGCGGTGCCATTTGCTGTTGCTGTTGCATCTGCTGTTGCTGCTTTAATTGTTGCTGTCTCATTATCAACGAGTCCTGATTGCTGCTCAATGCAGATCGACTGAGCACTTGAGCCACCTGAACGGGGTCCGTTGGGTCAATGGGCTTCTGCTGGGAGAATGATTGCTGCGGCTGAGTGGCTTGTCCAGGAACAGCCTGGTGCTGATGCAGCTTTGCCTGCATGGGTGGAGTTTGAGAAATCTGGGGTGATTGCGGAGAAATATGCTGGGGACTCTGTTGTTGCTGCTGTTGGGCCAGTTGCTGTTGCTGCTGCAATTGCATGCGTTGCTGTTGATGGACGGGCTGTTGAAAGGGCTGCATTTGTTGCTGCTGCTGCGGCGACATCATAGATGGCGGTTGGGGTTGTTGTGGGGAGCCCATCATGTGCTGCTGTCGGCTCTGTTGCATTTGCTGTTGCTGCTGGCGCAAATGTTGTTGCTGGACGTTTTGCGGCGAGGGCGGAGGTGGCGGTGTCATCTGTGGTGCCGGTGATTGCAGTTGGCGAGGCGATTGTGGCGGCAACATATTGCTAGTTGTATGGTGCTGTTGTTGCTGCAACGATGGAGATGGAGTACTTGGTGGCATTACCGGAGAACGGTTTTGCACCATCCGTGGCGACTGTTGTTGCTGTAGATTCTGTTGCTGTTGTTGCTGCTGCATTTGCATCTGTAATTGTTGCTGCTGCTGCAATACTTGCTGTAGCTGTTGCTGCATTTGTCTCTGTTGCTGCTGCTGCTGTGGCGTCAGTGCTTGTCCGCTCTGAACAATTTGCTGCAATTGCATTTGATTCTGGTTCAAAATTTGCTGCTGCCGCATGAGATGTTGGTGTATAATTTGCGGCGAAACTGGCACAGATTGTTGCTGTTGTTGTGGCTGCTGTTGCTGAACAACTTGCTGTTGAACTATTTGCTGTTGCTGAACTATTTGCTGCTGCTGTACCATTGTTTGCTGCGGGCCCACTTGTTGTTGCACCACCTGTTGCTGTTGAACTATCTGCTGATGGTGCTGAGGCGATTGCACGGGCTGCGGCGTTGTAGATGGTGTACGTGGTGTCTGCCGTCCTGTTGGAGTCGTTGGCATTCTTGGCGATTGCTGTTGTTGATGTTGCTGCGGAAGTTGTTGTGGATGTGGTTGAGAAAGTTGCTGTGGCAGTTGCTGTGGGAGTTGTTGAGGATGTTGTTGCGCAAGCTGCTGTGGAAGTTGCTGAGGATGCGCCTGTTGCTCCTGCTGCATTAGTTGCATTTGAATCTGTTGCTGTTGCTGAGACTGCTGCGTTGTTTTCATTTGCCTCTGCTGTAGGATATTTTTGATCTGCTGCTGGTTTTGTGTTTGCTGCTGCAGGTTGGCGGAAATAATCTTCTGCTGCTGAATTATTAATTGTTGTTGATGCTGCGGGAGAGTTGCAGGAGTAGGTGCTTGAGGACCACCTTGCTGCAACTGGTGCGGGGATTGTTGTGCTGGCTGTTGCGGCTGTGGTTGTGGTCGCACAAAGACCACCTGCTGCTGGGCGGGCACGGGCAACTGTTGCTGCTGGATTTGTTCGGCTGAAGCCTGCAGCTGGGACTTAATGCTAGCGATGCTCTTGGCAGCCACGCTGTCCTCGCCAAAGCCAAGGATGTCAGAAAGGGCAGAAGTAGCAGTTGCCTGTTGTTGGATGATCTGCTGATGCTGCTGTTGTTGCTGCTGTTGTTGTTGCTGCTGCTGCTGTTGTTGCTGCTGCTGTTGTTGTTGCTGCTGCTGTTGTTGCATCTGTTGTTGGTGCTGCAATTGCTGCTGCTGAATTTGTTGCTGCTGCGTGGCCTGCTGCTTCTGTGTTCGCTGCTTTTCGATAGGCTTCAGTAATCTCGGATGATACGTCTCCACGGGCATGCAGTTTTTGTACTTAAGGCTATCCGTCACCCAGTCGGGCGTCACAATAATGATGGCATTCTTGGGCAGGGCCAGCGCCTTGTTGTAGATGCCACCGTTGGCTGCTCCGCATACCAGATGCGTGTTGGTGGCCCCAAAGCTGTGCGTGACTACCGCGCCGTGGTACGTTAGCATGGCGTAAAGACGCCTTCGATCCCCTGCAACCACATTAGTGATGGCCACCCGAATGCCGCGCATCAGTCGCAGCTGATTCGGACTCGGGTCGAAGGCCCGTGTCGAGGCCATTCGGCCTAGCTTGGCGCTGTGCACGATCCATTGCTCCGTGACGGGAATAACACTGTAGAGGTCCAGGTTCATGGCCAGCTCCTCCTCGTTGTAGTTAGTGGCGCATATCATGTGGGTTATTTGGTCCGACAGGAACAGTTTCGATTGGGCGCCACCGGTCTTGAGAAAGCGTTCGATCTGCAAGGCACCGGCATACGTTTATAAACAATAATTTATAAATACATAAAAAGATTAAATACTTTAAATTTATGTATACAGTAAATATAATACAAAAATATGTATAACCAAATAAGAATTCCCTGTTGCGGGGTATAAAAATTGTTGTTTTCGATGGTAGCGAAAAACCAAAACAAAAATCAGTTGATTTATCACCAATACAAACTCAAATACGCAAACACACACACGACACTTTGCCGGCAGTTTTTATGGCGCGCATTTGCAAAGACGCCCGGGTCACCCTGTCCGCCCGCGCTCCAACCCACCCTGTGCGACGCACGCACACCCGCTTACACAAACACACACACGCGCACAATGCAAGTACAGCAACAGCAAACGAGAGATTCGTTTTGCAGCTTTTTACCTCCTCGTCCAGGTTTCCCAGCACCAAGTAAATCACATCCTCGAACAGTTTGTCGCTTATCTTGAGGTTCTCCATGGCGCCGCCGTTTGTTTGACCAGTTGCACTTCTCTGGCGGCGCTAATTTCACTTTTGCTTTTGTTATTGCTGCTGCGGCGGCTGCTCGTGGGCATCTACATTGCAGCGTGTTTTCTCGTCATTCCACCGATCTTAGCCGTTCGCGAACTTCGGAAAACGGTGGGCGATGCGGTGCTTATCGCGTAGCACATACCAAATGCAATTTACAACAGAAAAATTGCATTTATAGATCACTTTTTTCTTTTATCACCGCTCCGCCTTCCGCATAGAGTTGGAACAAAACTCAGTTTATTCGGTGCTATCGATAGTTCCAGATACGTGACAATATCGATATTTAATCTGCTGGAGTCGATTACTTGAACAACAATGTGGTGAAAAACTTGGATATCTGATTGATAACTTTGATTTGTTTTATACTGTGGGCCAAATAGTTATTTTGTGGGCAAAAATTTTATTTTTAAAAGGGTTTAAACGAGCTTATGTTTCTATGGACTGTTAAGTAAAACAATATCTATGCATCGTTTTGAAATATACCCATCTATCTCAAATTTAACAATAGTATTCTATAATTCGGTGATTCAATTTTATTCCCGTCCAATTTGAACAACAAATTACCATGCGCTCACCCGAACGTTTCCTAGTTAATTAGACGCCTCTCGGGCACTTATAATTTAGGTAAACATTTGTATGGCACATTTCCGATTCAGTTGTTGGGTTAGCGCCCCAGGAAATCAACACATTTATATGTATACGTACATACATTTATTTTAGCTCTGCTTGATTTACAAATTGATTTTAACTCGACAGTTTGGTTTTCATCAAAAATTTAGCTCGGCAAGCAGCAGCACCTATTTTATTATCAATTAGTTGGAGAAATTCCATCAACTGCTTATAAAATGAATAAAAATAAAAAATGTAAACATTTCCCATGGAACATGGGGAACTTTTTAAAACTGCTAAGTAAAAAGGATAAGTTGATGGAATCCCAGTAATGTACGAGAACAATGTGTGTGTATGTGTGTGTGGCTGGCTCCAACTTAAATTTATTATGCTCGTAATACTTACAACTACGTACGACCAGGGTAAGTTAGTTTAATGTTACAAAGATAGAGATATATTTAACTGTTGCAATAAATTTCGCGCTGTTCGGCTCGCCATCTTCGCTTCCCCGGCCTGAGAGATGGACTGATGAGGGGATCTTGAGATTGGCCAGTGCGGATGGCGATTTAATTGAATGGGGGAAACACGAAACAGGGAGTTAAAATTCAAGTTTAAACTTTCGCGAAATGCCTGCACAATCCGGCAGCAGCCATCTTAGCATTAGGTTTTTCTTTAAAATTAGGTATAGAGCATTTGAAGTGGGGAACGGGGATTGGGGAACTTGCTGCAGTTGAGGAGGTTGTGGATACAGTAGAGGTGAGTGGTGAGTAAATTAGCTCGTCGCCGGGAACTTGTTACAGGGTTGGATGATCGAAGTCTTGCGCGCCGGCACGGTTTCGGGCGTGGGAATGGCCTCCCCGGTGGTCACCTTGTTGGCAAAGACCTGCTTGACGCCGCCACCCTTCTGTTTGGCCATCTGGTAATCGCCCGAGTCGAAGAACTTTTGCTGTGGGTGGGTATTTAAATGCATATTAGATTTATCTTATATAAGCAAATGAGTTTTATAGAACTTATGCGGAAATATCTTCCAAAAACAATGATATGACAGACAATCTGAATGCATTCACATGATTAAAGTTTATTTAAACTATGTATGTTTCATTGTTTCATTGATTGTAAAAAGTAAGGAATTTCCAGATGGTTTATATTTTAGAATGGAGTTAGCATGAAATGTAATTCCCTAATTGATGTATAGTATTTAAAGAAATGATACTGAAGATGTCTCGGTTGCTAAATATTACTACGATATACTTTGATATTCAAATTATAGAGGTTGAGGATACCGAACACCGAAAGCTAGGCAATTAAACTTCAACTATTGATGAGTTAACTACTGCTAATAGGTTGTTTTCGATTTGTCCTAATCACTCACCCCCTTCTGCAACCTCTTCTGAAGGAAGGCCGAATGACCGCCCGGCACGCGCATTCCGCTGGGATACTTGGACTTGAGTTTCTCCTCCTCGATCTTCTCCAGATCCGTGAGGTTGACCTGTTCGGCGGCCTCGTCCTGGGGCGTGGTGGCCGGGCTGTTGCTGTTTTCCTCCGCGGAGCTCATTGTGGACTGCCTTCGGAAGATTGGGGACTGGGATTAGCGAAGGTGCGAAAATGGCGAAACAAATGGTAATGGGCAAATGGGGGGAGGCGCCGGAATGGCAGAGGGGCAGCGAAAATCGAAGGCGCGCAAAATGCCAAGAGAAAATTGCATTTCATCACACACACACGCGCGAGGCTCGCACAAACACTGGCACGCAAATCCAGGGCAGGCGCACGCACACTTGCTTATATATGTGGACGCGAAATATTATAGTAATAATCGGATGTGCAAATATTGTTTTAATTTTTTATATACACCAACCACTACGCAGGCGATAAGGCCAGTGTGTGCGTGTGTTTGTGTGCTCGTTGATGCGGTTGTCTGTGTGCAAGGCGTAGTTGCTCACCTTTTGCCTGTAAAATTTGACGATTAACTGTTGTTTTCCTTCTCCTTTTGTTCTTCACCCGTCTGTCAGTGCGTCTCCTTCCCTGGAATCGAATCGGTTTTGCCAATTAGCGTGCCGAATTAGCGGGGCTTACTATTCGCTAACGATTGCGGCAAATGCTCTGCTGCTCTACTAAATCAGGCTGTTACACGAATTATATGTATGGTGCAGGGACAGTGACTGAAATTCCCAAGGTGTTTCAATTGTACAATTATTTTATCACTTTACAGACGCAAGACTGTCTTCGATAGCAGGAGGCGTTATTTCAGATGTTATCGGTAGTCGAAACTAGAGTTGCTCACAACGGCAATTGTCCGACTTTGTTTAGCGGTGGCCCAAACCATTTTATATCGATAAGCATTTGGTTGTTTAGAAGACTTAAAATATAAGCTATAAAAAATATATATATACCAAAAAATCATTTCGACTCCAAAACACAAAAAAAAACTATTTTATACATTGAACAACTAAATAATGTCGCAGATATAATAGCACATTTCAATTTTAATATATATGCATTTTTAAAATAGGTTAATAGTTGTTTTTTAATTCCGTATAGCATTCAAATATAACTGTTGGATGCACCTATCGTTGTAGCCCAAGAACGTAGATAGTGTCATCGCTAACTTCAAAGCATCTCAAAGGGAAAAAGGGCGATAGTTCTGATAAGAAAGTTGGCGTAGCCGGTTAGCTGATTGTCACATACAAAACAGTTTTAAAAAGGCCAAACTGAGGAGAACCAATCACACAACAATCCACGCATACGATGACCGCCCTACGATACATGGGATGGATCACCGGCTGTTCCGTCCTAACGGCCTTTGTATCCATCATTTGGCAGGCGTTCATCACTCTGCAGACGCTTAACAGGACGACTGTTCTGCTCACCGGTCTCCTGGCAATCGAGGGGTGAGTTCATTCGGCTGCATTGCAGTACTAGCATTAAATGCATTTGTATTTCAGATCGCTCAAGCGGACTGCATTGGAGCCGGCACCAAAGGTGGCCATCGGGTACGGAGCCTGCACGGACCTGCAGATAAATGCCACTGAATTTCTGGATCGCTACTATGGACGCCGTATTCCAGTCGCAGCAGCCACTACAGGATCTCGGGCGGTCGTCAACAACGAGGACGAGCTCTTGCAGTCCTTTGCCTACTACTTTCAGAACGGCGCTGCAGCGGAGTAAGTTGTATTGGAATATCTTGAAAATAAATATTTTATACTAATTACCCTTTCAGGCGAGTGATGGCAAACAGCACCCTCTTCACACAGCTTGTGGGCTACGCCAAGGTAATGGATAAGGAGAGGATCCATTGGTACATGGGTGGTAACGCCCCACTGATGGCCGTGCGCTTTTTTATGGAGGGAGCTGAAGTGCTACTGGGCGCCCACATGTCTAAAAAGTATTTACCAGTCTTAATAAAAGAGTGTTTCATGCTACTTATTAAAAAAAACTTCTTCAGGTTGCGCCCACTGCTGCCAAAGGAGATTCGTCTGGCTGGCGACGAGATTCCAAACGATGATATCCATCTTATTCTGGAATACAAGGCTGGGGACAGATGGGGCCCATATGTGGCACCTCGCGCCAATCGCTACATTCTGCACAACGATCGAAATAATCCTCATCTGCGTGCCGTGGAGCAGTTGACGGATGCTTTGAAGATGTATCAGCCACAGCTTTTGGTTGTCAGCGGTCTGCAAATGATGGACATGTTCACCTTCAATCCTGGTGAACGCGAGGCGCGCCTACAGCAAGTACAAAGACAACTAACCAGCCAGCCGGCGGACACTTTGAACCACTTCGAGATGGCGTCTTATGTGGAGCTGCAGTTACTGCAACAGCTGAGACACTTTGTCCTGCCCTACGTAGACTCCCTGGGAATGAACGAACAGGAGCTCTCTAACCTGAAGCAGGTTCTTGCTCACGGACGGACGACCTTAGCCACCGACTGGAATCCTCGCATTGCTCACACCCTTGACCAGATGCGACTGGTTTTCATTAATCTCCTTGAAGATTACGACGATCAAAGCTCACGCAATTCCAAGCTGCGTCGTATCTCGCGGATCCATGTGCACACTTTGGCCTATCAGGCGATCCTTACCATAACGGGCTCAAAGTGGAAAAACACCCGTGCTGCCGCTGCAAAGGCAGCCCTCACGGCACACCGATACGTCTGCAAGTCCCAATTTGTGAGTATACCTTGTGTGTCTCCTAGTTGTAAACTGATAACTCCTCCATCCGCAGATCAATCCGGAGGCAGTGCTGCAGGTTCTGGATGACAGCTTCGCCACCTCGACCCAGGCGGACGCGCCGCGGATGCGCATAGGCGCAGCCAGTCCCGTACCCTGTTGGCGGGAGTATATCCAGTACGGTCGTCAGCGGCAACGGCTTGAGGTGGAGATCTGTGTTGCGCCGGTGCTGGTGTGTCGCGAGGCCAGAAAAACGGCTGGAGCTGGCGACAACATCTCCGCCTCCGGACTGGCGGCACAGTTGTAGAAGTGGCGATAACGATAGGTCAGGCAAAGACTGCGTAGTATTTTACTAGAAACCTGCAACAAAAGACTCGAATAGAAGGCCAGGATGTAACCCCGATGCATTCCCCCGCTGGATGGACATGGACTCGGCATGTTTAGCACCTTAGTGACCTTAGAAACGCGTTACCTTCACAAAAATCTGACGAATATGCTCAACCGATAGCACGAAGAAAGCATCGATTCCCATAAGACCACATATCCAGATGAGCTTTAAGTGAAAATGCTAAATTGTGCATTTGTCCTCTCATCATAAACGTTAATTCCACGTGTTCAAAATTATTCCTAATGCAACAGCATCGAAGTTCGGAAACGAATGCCACCTAGTCCTAAGTTTTGTTAGTCACTAGTTCTACGTTTTTGAGATTTTTGAGCCATTCCTACTTACAATTTGTTTTGCGCACTTGGTTTCAAACTAAAAAGACAACACGAAAAATGCGTCAACGAATTAAACAAGCGTTTCAGCACTGAAAGACAGTTGTGACCTCAACTTTCCTGTATTTCTCGAAATATTTTAATCCTATTCATTTGTAACAAAAAATTATGTTATAATTGGACCTTAAATGTTATGTGCTTAATTTCCTATCCGTTACAAATACATTTGTATCTCATGAATTTCCAAAACTTTTATTTTTATTCCTGAATTCGAAATGTGTTTGTTATCTGCTCTGTTGTAATGCCCAAAGATAGTTATGTGCAGTATGTTTCCAGACCATAAGTTTTTGTGCCTAAAGTGGCAAGAACTTGGGTGATCTGCTTCGTTTTAAAAGCCTTTAGATCTGGCAAACGAACTGCCTTTTCCACAACTGTCTTACATCTGCGAAACGCACTGTTTAAACACACATTACACATATATTTTTCTATACTTAAGTATACGCATATTAAACCGGCAGATGTAGAATAAATTCCTGTTAAAAGCTTCAAATTATAATTGTGCAAGCAATGCTCAAGCTGGGATTCGCGGTTCCCACTCGTTGGTCTTTCAGATGTCGTCGCCTGGGAATGGCTAGCATAAGAGGCGAGGCGAGAATCTCTGTGGACAAACAGAAGGCTGCCCAGGCGCAGCGGGATGAGGACCAGCAGGAGGTCGAGCCGGATTCCCAGCCGACGGAAGATATTCCAAGGATTCACAGGAACGAGAGAGTATTAATCAGTCATGCCATTCAGGAGATCCAGCACAGGCCGTTGGAGGTACCCACAATAATCGGTGATGAAACAGTGTACACCATGGACAACCAGCGGGTTTCCTGCCCGCATCACTTGCAAACGAACTTGGCTCACGTCTACTACGCCAATCGCAAGCAAATCGAGGCCGCAATCAAGTCGGCCCTTTCGGCGCAGGGAACTTGGAGTCTAGTTCCCATTGCCCAGCGCCTGGCCATTTGGCGACGCGCTGCTGGCATTATCGAGGAGGACGAGCTGCGGTTGCGAGTGTTCCTGATGCTGACGCTTAGCAAAACCGCCGACGAAGCGACGCGGGACATTCGGCGGCTGCTTACCTCGCTGAGGGCTAATGCTGACTATCTGGAGCACCTGTCAGAGCTGCGCTTTGAGATCCAGGGCGATATGAATGTATTCCCCAGTTTTCATTTGCGACCCATGGATGGGTTTGTGGCCGCCCTAGCACCATTTGAATCGGTCGCCTTGTCAACCAGTTTGGCCCTCTGTCCGGCTCTCATGGGCAACACGGTGCTCTGGAATCCCGCATTGGAAGTGGCACCTGTGAGCTTTCTCATTTACAGAGCTTTCCAGGAGGCGGGTCTGCCCAGCGGAGTGATCAATTTTGTGCCGGCCAACGAGCGTCTGTTCTTGGACACCATCACGGCTGCCGAGCATTTTGCCGGACTGAATACGCAAGCCAGTGCAGCTTGTTACAGGCATGTGCACAAACTGGTGAGCGATCGGTTGGAGCGATACATCTGTTTTCCACGTCTGGTGGCCGAGTGCCCGGGTCAGAACTTCCATTTTGTCCATGCCAGTGCCAAGGTGGAGTCTGTGGTCTCGGCCACCGTGCAGGCGGCCTTTGGATTTGCCGGACAGTATGCCAACTCGCTGTCTAGAATGTACGTGCCCTCGTCCATGTGGCCACGGCTCCGGGCGGAGTTGCTAGAGGCCACGGAGCAACTGATCATCGGAGACCCCGTCGAATTAGAAACGGATATGGGAGCGATGGTGCGTATTGAAGACTACCGGCGGATGCAGAAACTTCTGCAGCGCTCTAACAATATGGAGCAGTTGTGCGGTGGCAGCTGCGATGACGTCACTGGTAGATTTGTTCAGCCAACGATTGTCCAGGTGGCGGATCCATTGGATCCACTTCTGTGCGAACCCTGCTGCGGACCCTTCTTGCCGGTGTTCGTCTATTCGGACGAATCCTTCGGTGAGGCACTAAAGCTTGCTGCCAACCAGTCCAGATACGCGCTCTCCGGCTCTATATTTGCAAGCCGAGATGAGGTTATCCTCCACTGCCTGAACCAACTGCGAATGTCCGCCAGCAATATCTACGTGAATGAGCGATGCACGGGCAGTACGTATGGATTGACGCCCTTTGGCGGGAATCGGTTGTCCGGGACAAACGATAAATCCGGATCTGCCTACTTCCTTATGCGCTGGAGCTCGCCGCTGCTCATTGAGGAGACTGTGGAGGGTGCACCTCCCATGCACGGATCAAATAAGCTTCCCTAAGCTTGCTGATGGTTGGCGGGTGTTTCAAAATTACAATAAATGTATTTGAAGTGGCTTTTTTACCATTTAACCACAAACTGTATAATAACATTTTTCTCTCATTTTAAGAACTTTTTATTCAATGAATGACTAGAAACATAGGTTCACCAGTTATTGTAGCTTCTGATCTGGTAATGATTTATATTGGTAATCATTTTAAAATAAATTAAAATATGTTTTGATTTATTGGCGGCATTATTTAAATTGGAATCTGGAAAAGATTTTCTAGTATCGATAACTGGCATGACGGATATATCGATAGTTTTATTTTCCTAAAACCAATGTACTCTATAATCGATCCTATCGTTCGTGGTTAGGCCAGCTCTAAGGTGCAGACAATTAGTAAAAAAAACGTGCGGTGTCGAATTGAAGTTTCTGCGCTATTAACGTGAATCCAAAGGTGACTGCTCATTATCAAGTAAAACGTGCGTAACCATTCTGTTTGAGCACAGATAAGTAATAAATAAATAATTCGTGAAAAGCCAAACAAGCGAAGGCCTTTTTATCGCAAAATTTTCCGCCACGGTTATTGCGCGTGTGAGCGAGAGAAAAGAGCGACGAAGGCCGGACGCTAGAAATTTCCATTCGCAGGCGAAAAGCGAATCCATAATTGATGTGAATGTGAAAAGCATATATCAAATCGAATGTTCTGGACTTGTTTGTCAAACGAAAAGAACAGATAGCAAGCCGACACGTGCGTGGCTTTGTGTTCAGTACATATTTTATCTAATTCCCATCTCCCTCTCTTTACAAATTGTATATTTTGCAGTAGCTGAAAAAAACAAAGAAAACTCTGCGATCGCGTTGTTCCGCCCCCTAAAAAAACAAAAAGAGAGAAGGAAAACAAGGAAAACCAGCAAACGCCCAAGAAGTGTGTCTGCTCTAAATCAATTTTACTGGGAACATCGGCCAGACGACAAGGAGTCGAGTAAAAAATGTCCGTGATTGGCATCGATTTTGGCAACGAGAGCTGCTATGTGGCGGCAGCTAAATCCGGCGGAATCGAGACTCTGGCCAATGACTACAGTCTCCGGGCCACGCCGTAAGTACCTGCAATCCGATGCTCCGGATTACGGCCCAGTTTGTAGTGATAAGCTTTGCGGTCTGCATAATCGTTAGACTTTTTGCCTTTTTGGGGTTATGTCGAATTTGTAAGTCATGCCTTGCGTGTGTGTGCGTGTGTTTGTAAGAGAGCGCGCCTAGAAAATTCCATGGTTGTTATGGGTAACGCTCCGAAAAACATACGTGTACCCCCAGATATGTGCATTATGTACTGGGTTGTTTGTGCGCTTTTGCGGGAGGCCTAAATTTGGCCGATTGCACTTCCATAAAAAGTGTTGCAAATTGCAATTTTAATGAGGCGGCTGCACACTCATATCTGCTCCCTTCTGCTGCTGCTGTCTCTCTTTTACGATTTATTGTCGCTGCCTATGTATGGGTGCCTTTGATTTAAATGCCGTTGACTGCGTGGGCCTCCGTATCTTTCCAATCGTCCTCACTTCCACACTCTCCTGTACTTGTCCGAATTTACTTTTTTGGCACACTCACTCGCGATGCATGCGTCATGCGGCCAAGAGGAAGGCAGCATCAAAGGTGAGAAGAGAGCGGTGTCCGGAGAGCGAAATCAAACAGCAGCTGTTGTTAAGCGAGAGATGGTAGAGGCAAAGAGAGAGCGCCAAAAAGCACTGAAAAACGTGTGCAAAGCTGTCAAAAATAAATTCAAAGCCGGCAAACACAGACAGCACACAAACACACTCGCGCGTATTTAGATACAGTGGAGCCCGCATATGTTGAACCTTTGTAATGAGTACTACATTTTACCAACTTGTATTTTTGTCTGATATTGGAAAGTAAAGAAAATGATTATATAGGGTCGAGAACTTGTACCCTGTTGAATATCGAGCTAAATTCAAATACAAGCTCTTTTGCTTAATTTTTATTAATAAGGTACCGGTCTTAAATTAAATAAAACTTAATGTTAAGGTGTAGTAAGTGCCACATCTCACTGTAATGACTTAATCCCAACTGTTTACTATAAACATACACTCTTAGTATCGAAACTGAGTTAAGATATTTTAACCTTATATGGCCTGCAGAGCTATCCACTAACCGGCAATTTTTACTTCCTACCCTCTTGCAGCTCCTTTGTAGCCTTCGATGGCAAGAAGCGTATCATCGGCGTGGCCGCCAAGAACCAGCAGGTGACAAACATGAAAAACACAGTTGGCGGATTTAAGCGCCTGCTTGGCCGCAAATTCAACGATCCCCATGTACAACACGAACTCACGAGCATTCCAGCGCGCGTGGAGGCGCGCGGCGATGGCAGCATTGGCATCAAGGTGAACTACCTCGGGGAGGATCAGCATTTCGGGCCTGAGCAGCTGACTGCGATGCTCTTCACCAAGCTGAAGGAGACATCGGCGGCTGCCATGCAGACGCAGGTTAACGACTGCGTCATCGCCTGTCCCGTGTTCTTTACGAATGCAGAGCGTAAGGCTCTCCTGGATGCCGCCCAGATCGCCGGACTAAACGTCCTGCGATTGATGAACGAAACAACTGCCACCGCGCTGGCCTACGGCTTCTACAAGAACGACTTATTCGAGGACAAGCCGCGTAACGTGATCTTTGTTGACTTTGGGCACTCGTCACTGCAGGCCAGTGCCTGTGCCTTCACCAAGGGCAAACTGAAGATGCTGGCCAGTACCTGGGACCAGATCGGTGGACGCGACATTGACTTGGCTTTGGGCGATTACTTCGCTAAGGAGTTCCAGGAGCGCTACAAGATCAACGCTAAGACCAATGCCCGTGCCAATCTGCGCCTGCTCACCGAAATCGAAAAGCTGAAGAAGCAGATGTCCGCAAACAGCACCAAGCTGCCGTTGAATATCGAGTGCTTCTTGGATGACATCGACGTCTCGTCGTCCATGCAGCGTTCGCAGATGGAGGAGCTGTGCGCCCCCGTTCTGCAGCGTGTCGAGCAGACATTCAAGCGCTTGCTAGCCGAGTCTAAGTTGCAGCTGGACGACATTCACTCTGTGGAGATCGTTGGCGGAAGCTCCCGCATTCCATCCGTGAAGCAGCTTATTGAGCAGGTTGGTCTGCAGATGGAATACCCTGTTAAAAGTTAGATTTGTAATCTTTCGATTATTTATCGCAGGTCTTTAACAAGCCGGCCAGCACCACTCTTAACCAGGACGAGGCAGTGTCTCGCGGTGCAGCCCTTCAGTGCGCCATCATGTCGCCAGCTGTACGCGTCCGAGAGTTTGGCGTCACTGACATACAGAACTACGCCGTTAAGGTGTTGTGGGACAGTGAGGGCGCTGCTGCTCCGGGAGAGATCGAGATCTTCCCGCAATACCATGCTTCTCCGTTCAGTCGCCTGCTGACCATCAACCGCAAGGGACCGTTCAACGTTTCGATTGTTTACGGCCAGCAGGTGCCCTATCCAGATCAAACGATTGGCGTGTGGAAGGTCAAGGATGTAAAGCCGACCGAGCGCGGGGAGGGTCAGGATGTGAAGCTGAAGGTGCGCATCAACAACAATGGCATTGTGCTAATCTCCTCCGCCACTTTGCTGGAAAAGAAGGAGGCGGAAGAGGCTGCCGCAGCTGCTGAGCAGGCTGCCAGTGAAGAAAAGCCAGGCGAGCAGACCAACAACGCTGGGGAGCCTGCGGATGGTCAGCAAGAGGTGAGTCAACCATCTCCCGTCCAATTCACGCCGTCACTGTCTCATCATCTTTTGTTGCGGATAGGGGTTGCTGTGTTGCTCTTGTTTCAGTTTTAGTTGTATTCTACTAACCTCCCTTCCGACTTAAGCAAGTAGGGTGTAGTGCCTTTAGCTGATATTGTTTGTTGTAAAGCAGTCCAATAACGTCTGTCCGTAAAATCTTGCGTGGAAACTCTTTATTACATTTCTTTACATTTTAACTTATTTCATTTGATTTCGCTTTTCAATTAAATCGGCGTTTAGTTTCTGCTACTAAACTCTTAGCATTTTATAGTTCACTTCATAAAGTTCATCCTTAACATAAAATAACTTTAAATTGTGTAATAGAATTATCAAGATTTGTTTTCTCACATCCGTGGTAAACTATTCAAGCAAAATTGTATGGAAAAAATACCATGAAAATGTGGAAACTAACTCAATTCGTATTATCGCATTTCTTGACTAATTCCTATTAAGTTTCTGTTTTCAATGTCTGGTTAGAAAACTGTATTTTGCTGATCAAATACCGACCGGTCAATATATTATATTGCTCATTAAAATTTTCGATCGGTACCATAATCGGACATCTGAAAACCGGGACTGTAGAGCTCTCGTTTGAATATACGCATATACGAATGTGTTTGATATAAGTCATTCATTTTTATAAATATACCACTGCAATATTTGTTTTCGTTTGTTTTGGATATGTTTGCGAACGCGCGCGTTTTGATCTCTCGTAGGCATATTGTGAGAATGAGGATGATAATAATACATCAACAGCCTCATCACCTGGCGGACAAGGGTGGGCACAGCGGGTCAAGGGCTGGTTTGGTTCGGTACGTTTTCCTCAAATTTCTCAAATTTCAATTCAAAAACAAAACCAACAAAAAAAGAAAAACGCTAAATCTGAATTCTTTACTCCCATATTTGTGTGTCAAGAAATTGGAAAATTTTGATTAACGATATGTACAACAAAATTAAAAGCACGAATCTAACCATTTTGTGGTTATTGAAATTTTTAAGTTTTATCTTTTTCACCAAAAATGAAACGAATGATGAAGACCGCTCATAAGCCGCCTACCCTATGTGCTCCCAACAAAAAACCAATGTATTTAAATAAAAAATTTACACAATTTGCCATTTTATTTTATTATATCCAAGAGCTTAATATTTTTGTATTATTTTCAAACACACCTGAGAAAAAAACGCGCCCTTGTTCAAAATTAAACAAAAAAAAAAAACCAATACCCGCAGTTACTTGTATGAACTGCTTACAACAAACACCCATGAAAATGTATTGTGCTCATACTGTAGGCTGTCGCTTGGAGCTGTTATTCCTCTTCGCTTTATTGTTGATGTGTTGTTGCTGCTCCAATTTCTCTTTCTATTGGAAAAGTTGAATTGAACTTGTTCTACCAT